ATATATATATATATTTATATATATATATATTTATATATATATTACGATGAGAGCAGAAAGGTAGCGATGGGCTCGCAGACGCGAGATGGCCCAGACTAATTAGAGGCCTAATCTAAGTTTTTTAAATATATTTAATCACATTTTTACTTATATTGTATAGCTAATAATTACAAATTCTTAGTAATACAATATATAACATACTTGTTTCCATTAAATTTAATTAAAATTGTATTTAAAAATAAGGCTTTTATTTTCATGTTATAGTTTTTTGTTTTGAGAGGGAAGAGGGGAAGAGAAGTGTTTTAGGGGCCCGGATTCAAATTTTGCGGGGAGGCTTGTTTGTTGTCTCTACGCTACTGGATGATAGCAGCACAAAAATATATAATATACATAGTAATTATATCTTGTAAATACTTAAAATTTGAAATCTAGTCTCTTGTTTATTTTGTTTTAGATCAGTTGATATTAAAATTGTTTTTAATTTAGTTACCATTAACTTGTAAAGACAAAAAAAATTTGATGAAAAACTAAAATAAAAAATACAATAAAAATACACTTAAATCAAAAATAAACTAAGTTAATGTAATACTCATATCTCAAATTTACAAAAAAATTGGCAAAAATATGAAAAAAACTAAATCTTAATTAAAATCTGAAAAACCAGACATGAATATAACTGAGTGGTTAGAGTTAGTCAACAAACTAATCTACGCTAGTCTATATAAATGTGATTTGATACTTAACGATTATATTGAAGTATACCTGTTTAATACATTTGTCACACATTTCTTTCCGCTACACCAACTAAGTCTAGAAAGTTCTTTCACCAGTATGGAAAATACAAATCATATCTGGAACAGCCGCATGTTGTTTTTAATAAAAAATATTATTCTGCATAAATTGCACAATGACTTCAAAATAGCTGTGATATTTGTTAAAATTGTTTGAAATCATCAATTAGCAAATTCTCTTTATAATCTATTTAAAAGCTAATTAAAATGCTAAACAAAATCTTCTTAACACACTAAATAATTTACTTTCTTAACAGCAGAAACTGCTTCATAATATGCTTTTTAATTACAAAAAATACTAAAAAAGAAAAACTATTTAAACATATTAGTTTTTAATTTTGAAAACAATACTGTTTTCCTAATTTATACAATACATACAATAGTTATAAATTTATATGTAAAAAACTTATAAGCTTTATTTGTAAAAAAATATTTAAAAAAAAACGGTAAACAGAAATATAAACCTACATCGGAGTTATGTTAACGCCTGCAAACCAGTTTATAAATTCTTATTTTACCTGATGTCATTATCCCTAACAAACAAAATACAAGATATACTTTTAATAAGATTTGATTAAGATTAAATGGTCTTTAATGCTACTTTTATAAATATAGATGTTATAATCATTTATATACAATTGTTTAAAATACCTGTAGTTTTAGCATATTTTAGTTTAAACTTATACCAACTACCTGTTGTGTTATGTTCAAATTTTTTTCAGCAAATTTCACATTTTGATTCGGAAAATGGACAATACAGTTCTTTATTCAACTTGATGGACTTTCATTCACATAAACAACATTGTCTTTTGACTTAACAAACCATAATATACTGGTCCACACTATAGTTTCATAACTATATTTAGACTTTAATTGTAAAGTTCACACATATATAAAAACATCTTTAAATGATTCATTCTTTAAATATTCATCTCTAACAGGGTTAAAGTAGAGGGAAACGCCGTTCCTCCTTAGCCGACAAATCAAGATATCGTTCTGCTTCACTCAATATTTCTTTTCAACCGTTCTACCTCGTTTTTTTTTTTTTTGTTTTTTTTTTTATATAATTAGATTGTCCGTAAATTATGCAACGCCTAACTTATCTCTTTGAAGTAATTGATCATTTTCACTTTGCGCGCAGATTTTTATTGAAGTTAAATAGCTATTTTAATTTTTACTAAAGTTTATGACTAATATTAAGTAATATTAGTAATCACGCAAGATTTCAAAATACAGCAAAAGCGCACTTAACAAAAAACACCGACAGCAAAAATTAGACGGAAAATTATTCCATACACGAGCGGGCTATTCTGCATCCCTTTGAATAAACAATTTGAACTTTTTAACACTGTTTCACTTGATTTACTATCCTACTTTAACCGCTAATCACTAATCCACCATTTTATATAAAATATGCATTTTAAAGTATAGTACTCATTGTAAAAAGACTTTTGTATTAATGTGCATAATGCAAACTCTTATAAATTTTTTATCATATAAAAAATCATATAAAGTTATATCATATTATAAAATTATACATTTCTTTATTAAAAAAAATTTATACATATCTTTAAATTTTTGATTTTGATATCAAAGTATTAAAAACAAATTCGGTACCTTTAGGAGCTGCCAAAGGCTAAAAAGTGCCTTTATAGTAAACTTGACAAACATAGTTTTTTAACTACTTTTTAAATTACTCTGATCTATTATTTTTAACTTCTATTAAAAAGAGAAAAAAACATACATGAGAGATTTCTGCATCTGCAAATGATGGATACGTAATGACTTTTGAATTCGACTGCTCAATAAACTACTTATAGCATTGTTGGGCTTCTTTGCATTTATCAAAAGTAGTTGGATTCATGTTGTGTATAGTGCCTCTGATAACTCTATGTACCAGTTCTTCTGGTATAGAATCATTTTTACACACAGCATTTATATCATTGTCTATTTAGATTGTAAACACTGGTGATACTTGTTGAGAAACATTGTATTTTTACAAAACATCAGTGTTTAAATGTCAAAAATTGGTGGAGAGATTGTAACTTGTAATTTTTCAGAACTGCAAGTTGCAACTGACTACATTGCCATGGGATAATTTTCATTAGAACTTCTTGCACTCTCCATACTTGGACTTATAATGCTTTTCTCTTGGACTTATAGTGCTTTTGTTGTTTTGCAATTTTAAAAAACATATAGGACCAACTTGTTACCATACAAAAATATTATTTGAGTAAAAAAATAAAAAAAACTTTGTATTTTTAAATTTATTACAAATAACAATATAAGATTTATTTTAGTGTATTTACTTTATATAACTATAATCATCTAAGTAATTAATACTTTATTATACTATATATTCAGAGAAGATTTTTTCTAAACTTTTGCTCTTCTAATATATATCTTATAACTTTTACCAGAAAATATATCTTTCAAGCTTTGAAACATAACTCTAGAAGCTCAGAGTCATTGCCAGAAAAGTCTTCTATAATTAAAACCCTTGGAAACTTTCAATATTAAATTTCTTGAAAATATAAGACATATTCTCTTAATTTCCAGAATATTACGATTGAAAGTTTTCAAGGGTTTAAGTTTTAAAATTTAAATTAAAAACTATTGGCTGCATTAGCGTTTTCCTAATCAATTTTTTTAAATATTGATTAGGAAAATGCTAATCCCTTTTATCAAATATAAAATATCATATTGAGCAATTTGTAAATCATTGATGATAATGAGCACACCTTATCCAACCGGCCAACTTGCAGCTCTAGCGGCCAACTGGCCAGACAAATGTCAAGGTAGTCATTCAACTGCTTTTCAAACGCTTGATGCTACGATTTCAAAGCTAATAGCCACAGTCAGCATACTTCTCACCCACGTTTCTGTTTTTTTTTTGAAAACGAAAACATTACTCTTAAAGCATATCACTTTCAACAACCAAAGTTAGCACCTACAAGTTTGACCACAACTCTCAACTGGGCAAGCGCATTCAAGCACGGTTCAGAAGCCAATTTAGCAGTTAACACAGCAGTCAAGGGAAATGCCAAAATTGTAGAATCGAAATCTAAACTATAGTTTCCGGTCTTCCAAAATCCTTTAACAATAATCAGAGACTAACTGCAGTTCAAAGTATGCTCAAAAAACGTTATTATAATGTTGCTTTTAAAGTCGTTGGGCATTTCTCAAAAAAGTTCAACAAAACCACAGTTTAACTACAATAGCAGCTAAACCAAATGAATTGATTATCATTGAGTTTGACTCCAATGAGCAGCGCAATGTTCTCTTATCTAATGCAAAACAACTTGCCTTAATAGATGAATTAAATTCAGTTTATATTCGTCCAGACCGTACACCTCTCGAACTAGAAACATTCAACAACTTAAACAAAAAGTGTGCTACCAAAAATGCAGAACTATAGGCAAAAAATTTACTTGACAAACCCTTTCGATTTATCATCGACAGCAAAAACATTAAATAAATTGACACATCCAAAACAGATAACATCAATGGAAGAGAGAGAAACCCATACCTTAAATGGAAATCAGCAGCTGAGGCCATTTAATCGCTTTCAGCATTTTACTAGTTCAACATTTTTAAACAAGGCTAATTCTTCCATAAAGTTATCTAATCTTTTGTGCTTCTTTACTAATGCAACCTCCATCAATCGAATAAAACTCATCGAAATCTCCTTACTCGCAGAAAACAACTCCTTTGACATTATTTTTATAACCGAGACATGGTTCAATGACCAATCAACTCCCTCTCTTCCAAACTACAACCTCAATCGTTCAGACAGTCTGAACCGGAGGAGGTGTAGCTAAATTGGAGGAGGTGTAGCTATATACACAAACAATTAAATCATCTCAAACCAACTACAGGGTTCCCTACTACACAAATGTTTTATTTGTTACTATTCAGAATAATTATGGGTCAAACTAAAGCTTCTGAATAAAGCTCTGCTTTTAGGCTGCATTTATACCTCCATCTTCTGGTATCGAAGGCTTCTCAGAGATTTCAAGTAATATTTTCCATGTCGAAACATCAGTATTGACCAAAAAATACAATAGTATGATCATTGCCGGTGACTTAAATTTCCCGGAGATTACTTGGATTTTCAATTTAGCCTTCTCCTCTAATAAAATCGGTCTCAGTTTTTTATTTGTCTCTCTTCTTCAAGATTGTTATCTTCGCGAAATTTTCACGGTCCCTACTTTCAAACATGCTAATCTCCCTATGACAAACACTCTTAATCTCATAGTAAGTGACTCTCCATATCGTGCTAACAAAGTCAACATTGGTCCTCCACTCGGTTTGTGTTATCAATATCATTGCTCTATCACTTGGCATTACAAACTGGCTTCCACCGGAAAATTATCGCATTTCAACAGTTCTAAATTTATTTACAACCTGGGTAACTACGAAAAAATCAACAAAGAATTTAATAAGGTGGACTGTCATCTATTTTTAAAGAATTAAACGTAGAGCATTGTTACAAAACTTGGTTAAACAAATACAATGAATGTTGTCTTCAATTCATCCCTCGCATGCCGAACAAACTATCCCCAAATAAACAACCACGGATGACAAAAGAACTTTTATCCCTGATTCGTCATAAAAAATCGCTGTGGGTTCGTAACGTCAGTTTAAAAGGGAAACCGCATCCCTGGTAAAGGATATAAAGAAACTAGAAAGTTTGTTAAAAAATTAAGTCGTTTTTCTCTAAAATCTTTCAAATTCGCTCTTGCAAATGAAAAGCGCAACTCTAAAAGACTATTTTCAAACAAAAGTTGTAAACGCTCTGTAATAAATTAGATCTATTCTATGCAAATCGCCAGCTCCAGTGAAATCATTACCTCTGATAAAATTAAAATAGCCAACTCTCTTAACAATCAATTTTAAGCAGTTTTTAGCAAAGAGCCATCCAATGGCAATCTTCCCCATTTTGAACGCAATCCTCAACAACATAACTTTTGACACTCAGGACACTCTAATGGAACTATCATCACTAGATATATCTAAATCAACTGGTTTAGACATTGTCAGTCTTCACTTTTTACGCTTTTGTCCTACCTCAATGTTTACTCCACTTACTCTCATCTTTCAAAAGTCATTTGACAATGGTGAAATTTCAAACTCATGGTCCAAAGCAAACGTAACATCTTTATTTAAGAAGGGCTCCAGAATCAACCCATTAAACTACAGACCAACATCTCTCACCTCGATTCTATGTAAAATAATGAAAAACTAGATAAAAAGGCAATCATGCAGCATCTAAAATCAAACACTCTTATATCAAATAGTCAGCATGACTTTTTTAAGAAAAAAGCATGCATAACAAATCTCCTTGAAACAATTGATTTCTTAACAGGAAATTTGGCCAGTAAACTACCAATTGACGTCATATCCTTTTGACGTCATAACCATATGACAAAGTGCTACATTAACGAATGTTTTACAAACTAAAAAGATACTGAATCGAAGGTAATCTTCTCAATTGGATAAAAACTTTTCTACTTAACAGGTCTCAACGAGTCATCTTCAGTGACACTCAATCAAATTGGTTACCTGTGAAAAGTAGAGTTCCGCAAGGATCAGCCTTGGGTCCAATTTTATTTGTCATATTCATCAATGACCTGCCAGATGTAATAAACAAAGAAAGCATTTGTAAGATCTATGCTGATGACACTTAAATTCTGAGCATTGTCAACTCACTTCCTGTTCAACTTTAACTCCAATCAGATATTGACCAAATTGTTTATAGGACTAAGTCTTAGCTCATAGAGCAAGGTCATGCACTTGGGTCAAAAAAAATTAACTCCTTTCAAGTACTCAATGGAGGAACTTTGCCTTCGTTCAATAACAACTCGAACTACATTGGAAGCAACCACCTCTAAGCGTGACTTGGAAATTCAAATTACCAATGACCTTAAAGTAGAAACCCAATTCATCATTGTCTCCTGTAAAGCAAATAAAATCCTAGGCATCCTAAAACACACTTTCTAGTCTCGTGATGCTTCTTTGTGGAAACAACTTTACTCTACCTACATCCGTCTTTTACTTAAGTTTGCAATTCCAGCTTAGAACCCTCATTTGGTGAAAGATGAACAAACTATTGAACTAATACAGCGCAGAGCCACAAATATACCAGACAAAATGAAAGAGTTAGACAACAAGTCCAGGTGTTTAAAACTTGGCCTCATCCAAAAATACAAAATTGTTAACAACATTAACATAATCAACTAGCACTTTCCCCTCATCACAATTCCATCAAAAGCAAAACATAGAGAAATACTTCATCGTGAAAAGTACAGCAACCATTCAGCTCGCTTCCACTTTTTTCACAATCGCATTGTCAATGCATGGAACATGCTACCAGATAAAGTAATCAATTCTCCAACTGTCAACAACTTTAAGGCAAGCCTCGATAAGCTCTAATGTTACTACAGCTCGCAACTTTCATTAGTGAAAATTGCAATATGAGTCTCACAAAACTATTTGTAATCTGAAAACCTATGATTTGTATTTTGTCAATTTTTTTACTTTTGCTGTAACAAATATATACTACTACAACTACTACTACTACTACTACTACTACTACTACTACTACTACTACTACTACTACTACTACTACTACTAATGATATACTACATATAAAAATTATAAAAATATATTAAGTTTTTTGAGCTACCATATAAAAGAAAACTTTTACGTTGTTTACCCAATATTTTACAACACATTGACTCCATGATCGCATTATGAAAACCTCAATGAATTAATACATACAAAAATTATAAAAATATATCAATGAAATTTTTTGCAATACCATATAAAAATATTTTACGCTGTTTATCCAATCCAATACAATTTATTAACACTGAAATATGCTCTCAATGAAATACTACATATAAAAACTAAAAAAATACATTTCATATATCTTAAAACTATAAAGACATTGTGATCCACACAAATGTAACTAAAAAAATTATGTACTTTAATGAAATATTTCATTACATTAAACACGTTAACTTGCAAGGGAATAAAGTAAAATCATAAAGGATGATCATCACTACTATTTGATGTCTTCATGTGCTAATGCTTGATACTACTAGACTTCCAATTTTGCTGCAATTTTTTTCCCCTGACAATGTAACAGGTGATTTAAAAGTAATTTAAATGGTTTTGAACCCAATTTCTAATAATAAATAGATATTAAAACACTAATTTTACATTAAAAATAGAAATATATTATTGTATTATAACTTATCTACAGATAAAAAAAACTAACTCACAGTATTGAGTTATCTTCATATTACCTTTTACATTATTAGTATTTTTTGGTCTTGATTACATTGTTAAACTAATATCATTATTCAATCTAATTCTAACATTTAAAGCAATCACGTCGCTTTTTATGTATGTAAAAATATTTTAAAAAACTGAACAAATAATAACAATGATGATAAGAGTATTGGATTTTATAGTTTTTTATTTTTACAGTTTATTTTATATTTTATTCTTTCGTTTACTTTACTTATTTTTATATATTTTGGTTGCATTTTTATATTTACTTTACGAGTTAAACCTGACATTCATTTTGCGTGACTGGGTTTAAATCATATATAGATTGAGTGCCTTTTAATTATGCCAATAAGTAAATAAGTAGAATCATAATTGTTCTGTAATGCTTTACTAATACAATAAAAATAATTTATTTTAAGAAAAATATATAAAAGTATCAAAGAAAAGACAACAACAAAAACCATTAGCTAATGCTTTTAAGGCAACTTTTGCACGACCACCATTTCTGTTAGGAGCCTGCATTAGCTTTGTGGACCTCTCAACATACTTGTATTGCCCGCTCCATTTTCATGCTTTTAAACTGCAACAGTTAAATTTAAAACAAAATATTTAGAAGTGGTCCACTTAAATACCACAAAATAATTGTGTATTATTTTACTTACTGTTGATTATGCCAGGAATTTGTTTTAACTTTGCAAAGTCTAACTGCAAGTTTACCCATTTATAGTAGAAGAAAATGATATAAATACAGTTATATTTATGTGTTTATAAATATATATATATATATATATATATATATATATATATATATATATATATATATATATATATATATATATATATATATATATATATATATATATATAAATATATATATATATAAGTAAAAAATCAATCAAATCTGCATTTAGAAATCAATTCCGAACGGAATTGATTTCTAAATGCAGGCACGAAAATAAGTTTCTCCTAAAAAACTATAAAAATAAGTGAGCTTAAATAATAGTTACATTAACTCCCCTTTGAAAAAAATATATTATTTTTTAAAAAA